TTGCTTCATAGCTTCCAGAAAATATGCAATATATCATATATACCCACTGGGCATTTATCCAATCTGCTGGTGTCTTTATGAAAGGAAATTGGACACAGAGAGAAGGAGGGATCATGATCACATATGCATAAAGGACAACGTGAAGAAGCATCAAAAAGGCAGCCATCTGCCAATCAAGGGGAGAGGTCTAAAATAAATTCTACCCTAAGTAGAATCAGAGAAAACCAATTCTGTCAAAATTTTGATCTTACATTTTGAGCCTCCAAAACTGTGAGAGATAAGTTTGTGTAGTTTCAGATAATGAGTTAGTGTAGTTTGAGCTATCCAGTTTGTGGTATCTTGTTGTGGAAGTTCTATTAAACTGACATGGTTACATTAAAAAACAAAAATGATTTGAGTGTGTGATGGATTTTTTCCCATTCTCAATTCAGTAATTTCAGGATCTGTGAGAAAGTTAACACAGCAGATATTTTTCTCAGTACTTTAAGCAGAAAGTATTGACATCTGATCAACCCCAGGGAACATAGCCCTTGGAAAAGTATTTGTGTAATTTAATTGATTAAATCTTTCACATAAGTGAAATGAACTGGGGTATGATAGCTATCAGTGTTACCTTAAACAAGCCTTCATTGACAATAAGTACCTAGTTTCATGGTTAGAGTACTGAGTAGTGGGTACTATGGCCAATTGCCCAATAGAACGTGTCTGTGGAAACCCCTTCAAAAAATACCTGAACTTCCAGACATGAGTAGCCTTCACTGGGAAAAAGTATGTAATATGACTACTTCAATTAGATGTTGAGAGAGAAAGAGAACACTTATGAAGCATGTATAGGGATTCGGGTCTCTATGCCTGTACTCCCTGGTTTCTATTAAGGCTAGAGGGAATCGTCCATGCACAAAGCCGCTTTTCTCTCTCACACCAATTGCAAATTCAGGAAGTTCTCAAAATCACACTTAGCTTTTATAATTCACTAGAATGACTCACAGAAGACACCAGAAGATATTATACTCACAGTTACACTTTCTTATAGCTGAAAGAGAGAGATTAAAATCAGCTTAAGGAAGAAGTGCATTTGGACAGAATCCAGGATGAAACAAAACATGGATCTTCCAGCAGTTCTCTCAGTATGGAAACAGGAGAGTCTCACTGCCCTGGTACGGATGTGTGATAATATAGAGAGAGTATTATTGCCCACTAAGAAAACTCACCCAACGCTATATGACTCTCCTCCATATCACAGTGTTGATTTTTTAGGCATCATTATTCCCTATTCTGAATCCTATCTACCATGGCAACATAAATTATCTTGTTAGACTATTTAGAGTGATCTCAGGTCCCTAGGTAAAGAAATACAGTCAATATTTGAAAGGATGGCTACTTCCAGAAAAATAAGGAAACATCCATACCTATTTTAGTATAGGAATAAATGCTTTTTTGTACATTGCCCTTGCATGTACTTTTTCTGTTTTTGTCTTTTTTACATACATATATAAAACAATGAGTAAAATCTGCTTAAGCTGGCCGGCGCCGTGGCTCACTAGGCTAATCCTCCGCCTTGCGGCGCCGGCACACCGGGTTCTAGTCCCGGTCGGGGCGCCGGATTCTGTCCCAGTTGCCCCTCTTCCAGGCGAGCTCTCTGCTGTGGCCCGGGAGTGCAGTGGAGGATGGCCCAGGTGCTTGGGCCTTGCACCCCATGGGAGACTGTCGCTCCCCGTCTTCGCGGAGGAACGACACAGGACCCTGCGCTGTTCTTTTGTCTGCTCGGCCCTCCCCGGGTTTGCTGCTGGTTCTTCCCGGGTTGGCTACCGTCCCTTCCACCTCCGTGGAAGGGCGGTTCCCCCTGCCACTTTCCCCACTTCCGAAGGGGAGCGGCACACCGCCGGCTGGCTCTCTCGGGGGCTGCACAGGTGTTCCTTCAGATAGATGTTCCTGGTGCATGTTGTCTCTCTCCTCCTTTATAGTCCTCTTCCACCAATCCCAACTCTGCTACCCACCCGCCAAGTACGCTGCTCTCCTCCAATCAGGAGCAGGTCCTACAGTTTATTGGTTGAACTGGAGGCAGCTATGTAGAAGCTGTTTTCTCCTCTCCCAGCGCCATATTGTGGGAGAGCAGATGCATAGAATAAGTCTTAATTCCAGTAACAGTCTAGTCCGAGTTGCTCCCCACAGGAGACCAGGAGAAGTACCTGGCTCCTGCCATCGGATCAGCACGGTGCGCCGGCCGCAGCACGCCGGCCGCGGCGGCCATTGGAGGGTGAACCAATGGCAAAGGAAGACCTTTCTCTCTGTCTCTCTCTCTCACTGTCCACTCTGCCTGTCCAAAAAAAAAAAAAAAAAAATCTGCTTAACCTGCTATTGAGTCCAGAATTATGTGCAATTAGTTGACTTCTGAGTGTATTGAAAAAATATTTTATTAAAAATTTTTTTTGACAGAGTTTGACAGTGAGAGAGAGAGAAAAACAGAGAGAAAGGTCTTCCTTCTGTTGCTTCAACCCCCTAATGGCGGGTATGGCCAGCACGCTGCACTGATCCGAAGCCAGGAGCCAGGCGCTTCCTCCTGGTCTCCCATGGGGTGCAGGGCCCAAGCACTTGGGCCATCCTCCACTGCCTTCCCTGGGCCACAGCAGAGAGCTGGACTGGAAGAGGAGCAACCGGGACAGAATCTGGCGCCCCATCCAGGACTAGAACCGCGGTGCCAGCCTTATTAAAATCTTTAAGTGGCATTTATGGAAACATCAAAAGGCTGCCCAGAGCAAAATTCAAAGAAAATATAGCTGCCCACCTGTAGGGTGTGCATGTGGCAATGAAACCCCAGCTATTATTCTATTCATGTCCTATATCCACTGTGGAGATCATCTTGTCTGAGATTATGACCTTTCTAGAACAAACCAGATTGCTTGAGCAAGGTGGGGACCTAAAGGACCAGTCATTTCAATTCTTGTGAAATAGCTCTGCAGGACAGTTTTCACCTGGAATCTTCCCCCAGAATCACTATGTATGTGGCACTACACAGTTCATCATGAAGTTTTGTAGACCTGCATTGCCAACGATATATCCCTAAATGTAATCCTGATTCCTCTGTATTCCTTTCACAGATATTGGAACCTCAAAATGTCAAAACTCTGTTCAGCCTGGGTTTTCTTATAACTCAATATTAAAAGTCCCAGGAATTACCAGGGAAGACAGGTGATAAAATGTAGTTAAAGGGTATCATTCACTGCTCAGCAGGCAATGACAACCACATCACTGTTAAGTGAGCACAGACAGATCACCCTCCACAACAGAAATCCTGTTGTTAACACTTCAACTCGTCATAATTGACTGAAGACTATAGCCAATAACTAAGCCACAGAAATTAGTAGTCAACAGTAGCTGAATTTCAAACACCCAAGTAAGACAGGAGTTATGCTGAAATAATAACCTTGACTAGAAAGAAAGGTGAAACCTTCACACATCAAATACAGGCATCTGAATAGAAATTTGTAAAAATTTCTGATTAGCTAATCTCTAAATCTTCTAGATTTGTGGAAAAAGTTCTTTCTATTATTACTTTGGTATAGAAAATGCAGTGATTTCTCTCCAATAAGAAAAGCATTCCTTTCTCAACATGTATCCATATCGTTTCCTGACTACTGAAACTATGTCCAGTGTTAAGTGGAAGCTCACTCCATATTGGGATGTATTGTATCTATAAGCCCAGAAAAGCACTATACACAAGGGAACTGAACACATATCCACTGGAAAATTACATATAACTTTGGATTCTGAGAGTACTTGGTCAAAAAGTAGGGGTTTGATGAAGCATACATTTGTTAGAATTGGGCCACCCAAGCATAATGTATAATATCTAACATAGTAAGACCCCAAGGAGATGAAATAAGCTAGCTATTATAATTGATCTAGAAAGCAAGGGGGAAAGAGTGAGTTAAGGTGAACTATGTTAAGGTGGTCAAATTGTAGTTATAGGCATTTAGATATTAGGATTATGAATAAACAGGCAACCTGAAACTAGCTTCTCTAAGTAACTGACACTAGATGACTAAGTTCCTCAGGAAGGACCCAAAACCCATGATGTATAGGGCGACACAGGGCTATCATATTTAAAGAAGTATCAGCATCACTAAAAAGTTTAATAGTGGCTCGATTCTGTAGGTCATGTTGATGATAGACTGCTATAGAACTAGATTCACTGAAATAAATAGATGAGTAGCATCATAAAACCATGGGGTCAAGTGGTAATATTAACTACAGAAGCTACAGTAATGCAATAATTCTAATGGTTGACAAGTTCAAAGTGATAGAATGGAGGTGGGTTGGAGGAGGTCCAAGTACAATTATAGAGATGGGTATAAGAATATAGCATCTCTACAGACAAAATACATGGATACTCACTAAAAAGGAAAGTCAGTTATGTGTGCACAGTTGATAAAAGATAGATTATAGAGACACCTGAATGATAAAGACATAGGTGACACACTCTCTCAGATACAATATTCTGTGAATATAAGGCTTATGATTCCAGGCAGATTTTGCACTGAATCAAAGACCTTTAAACATGGGTCTGAGAATCAAAGAGCAGAAGTTAACCGAAGCTACACTAACCTCTACGACCTTTTGGAATCCTGGAAGTCAATGCTGTTATAACTTCACTGCTATCATCTTTGGATCAAGCAGATCCAAAAACTGGAGGCGAGATCATTACAGTGTTCTGAGGGCTGAGTTGAGGATAAATAGCATTGTGTTAATTGAGGATAATAGTTGAGGTAATTGAGGATAAAAATTGAGGATAATATTTGATAATAATAGCATTGAGTGAACCTAAACTGAAAATGGTTTCTCTTAATTCTGATTGATACCTTGGAAGGAAAGGTTAGCAACAAATTTGCAACTCAGAATAACCTAAGGAAGCTTTGGCTTATCTCAAACACCTTTGTTAACAATGTTAACTTTTAACTAGCTTGTTTTTTATTTATTAATTTTTCTTTTTTTTTATTTAGAGAAGAGCATGAACACAGTCCCCCACTACCACAAATTATGCAGTCGAGTTTCCCGCATTTGGGGAAATCGCAAGAGTCAGCATACCCGGAGTGTAATGGATGAACCTCGCCCTGGGAAAACCACCTTTGTGACCATGGTATCTCCCCTTCCAGGTAAGTATATTAACTAGCTTGTTAATTACAAGTTAAAATTGTTAGACAATAAATCATCTAATTAATATGTTAGAAGATTCAAATATGTGTAATCAGAAATTAACATTGTAAAAAACAGAGAAGTGCTTACAAATGCCACTTAAATCTCCAATATACAGTTCTGAAGACTAGAAGTCTGATATCAAGTTGTTAGCAGCAATTACTTGTTCTGAAGCTGTGAGGGAAAATATTATTTTTGTCTTCTGTACTGGATTTATAAATGACAATCTTTACCTTCACCTGGATAATTTTCTGCATGTGTCTGTGAACAAGTTTTCCCATTTGGTAAGGACATCAGTCATTTAGATATTCAATGATCACATATCTAAATAAGGTATGTTAGGATATACTGGTGAATAGGATTCCAACACATGAATTTGGGGAACAAAACTGGAGGTTCAACACTTGCTTAGCATGGCGATTGACACTGATTTCATTTTCATGCTTAGGAAATTGAAAAAATTATAAAGGGTTGATAACCAGAATCTACAAAGAAATCAAGAAACTCCACAACATCAAAACAAACAACCCACTTAAGAGATGGGCCAAGGACCTCAATAGACATTTTTCAAAAGAGGAAATCCAAATGGCCAACAGGCACATGAAAAATGTTCAAGGTAACTAGCAATCAGGGAAATGCAAATCAAAACCACAATGAGGTTTCACCTCACCCAAGGTAGAATGGCTCACATTCAGAAATCTACCAACAATAGATGCTGGAGAGGATGTGGAGAAAAAGGGACACTAACCCACTGTTGATGGGAATGCAAACTGGTCAAGCCACTATGGAAGTCAGTCTGGAGATTCCTCAGAAACCTGAATATAACCCTACCATTCAACCCAGCCATCCCACTCCTTGGAATTTACCCAGAGGAAATGAAATTGGCAAACAAAAAAGCAGCCTGCACCTTCATGTTTATTGCAGCTCAATTCACAATAGCTAAGACCTGGAACCAACCCAAATGCCCATCAACAGTAGACTGGATAAAGAAATTATGGAACATGTACTCTATCAAATACTATACAGCAGTCAAAAACAACGAAAGCCAGTCATTTCCAACAAGATGGAGGAATTTGGAAAACATCATGCTGAGTGAATTAAGCCAGTCCCAAAGGGACAAATATCATATGTTCTCCCTGATTGGCGACAACTAACTGAGCACCAAATGGGAAACTTGTTGAAGTGAAATGGACACTATGAGAAACGGTGACTTGATTAGCTCTTGTCCTGACTGTTGATGAGCAACTTAATACGTTATCCCTCTTAGTATTTTTTTATTTGTTCTACTTAATACTTTTGGTTGAATACTGTAATCAATACACAATTTTTCTTAAGTGCTGAAACTTA